AAGCTAGTCAAGTTTATTCATTTATCAAAAGAATATTTATAAAAAATTTTAAACTTATTTTATTACTTCATTAAATGATTATAAATGAGCTCTAAGCAAATCAATCTACTAGTTTGTTGGTAATTAGTTAATTTGTAGCATACGTGTGACTAAGGCATTTTTTTTAGGCAGCTTGAGGCTTTCATATGGTTACTTTGGTAAATTATTTTTCTTTTCAAATTTCTTCTCTTATTTTTAGTCTGATAGTGTTCATAATTTTGTTCAGAATTGTTATTACTAAGTTTCCAATTGCGACGAATAAATAACAATTATTGTCAATTTTCTGTGGTTTGAATTTATTGTTGATTTCCTTGGATTTATTAGATCACTGCATTGTTATTTGGATTCGTCTTTGCTAGTTTGCACCTACATGAAGCAAGTTTTGCAAATTTATTGGTATTTGATTTGTGAATCCTATATTTTTTTATATAATCTACAAAAATTTCATATCTTAAACTATTGCGAATCATCAGGGCAATTTAAAAAAAAAAGGAGAATCAATTCTTTTTGGAACGAAACAATGTTTCTAGAAAGCATGCATGTTTGACTTCTTCATAAGCATCATTTTTTAGCTTTCGTACAACCGAATCTTTCCTCGTAACAACTGACTTAACTTCTACCAAAAGACTTAAAAACCTAGTTCTTATCTGAAATACATAATCAATCAATAAAATCATACTAAACAGGGCCTTAAACCTTGAGCCTCGTAACAACTGACTTAACTTCTACCAAAAGACTTAAAAACCTAGTTCTTATCTGAAATACATAATCAATCAATAAAATCATACTAAACAGGGCCTTAAACCTTGAGCCCTTCATAAACAAGTGTTTAGCATTCAAGAAATGTATTATATAGCATGACCTTATGACAGTGAGTTTTGGTTTGCAGGCTAGGGCTGAAGGGCAGAGAGCCATCCAAAGCAAATACATAGCATCGTGAGTCAGCTATCTTATTTATTTCTCTCTGAATACTGATTCAGTACACGATTACTTTCTTCTTTTCCTATGAATTCAGTAATATATGAGATAAATTAATTCATAAAAATTGCTTTTAATAAATAAGAGTTGTAACTTCAACTCCAACAAGAACAGTGATGGGGCGATTAAATGATTACACATTTTTATCAGAAAAAATAAGTTTTCATTTTAAAAGAATGGAATTATAAGATTTTGCTCTTGAGAATTAGAAATGAACTTTTCTTTGCCAGATCCCATTAGCACTATCATAGAGACTGCTACTGTGCAGCAAATCTACGGCTATGTTTTTACTACTAAAATTTAACATGATAAGGTTAAAACTTAGGGTCTGTTTGTGATAATTTTTATCTTTTCTTTTTCTTTTTAAATTTTTATTTCCTTTGCTTTCAACATATTTTTAGAAACCTCAGAACTATTTTTAGGTGTTTTGAGTGTTTTTAAAAATAAGTTGATTTTTTTTTCAACATACTGAACATGATTTATTTCAAATCAAAATATAAATAAAATAAAATAAATGAAATGAAACAAAAACCAAATTTGGTCCTGAACGGCCTCTTATTTTTTTAATTTTGGATTGAAACTGAGGTGGGAAAACTGTATAAAAATGGAAATGATTGTTGTATATGAAATATTTCTCTTGTGAAAACAGCATATTTATTGTATAATGAAAAGAGGGGGTAATACAATAACAAATTGGATTATACTATTGGGTGCTCATTTATTTGGTTAAAGCATTTTTTATATTCTCCTAATGAAGATGATGAAGCTTTTTATCAATCAATTATGGCTTTTTATATTATCTCATAGCTTTTTTTAAGTATTCATGCAATATTTTTAATGTTAATAAACAGGGAAGGATTACACTTGGAGGATGACGTTTATTCTTTTGGCTTAATCTTACTTGAAGCACTTCTTGGACTACGAAGATCTGAAAAAGGGGGAGCATTTCTTCCATATGAAATGGTATGCCTAAATAGGAATTTTAAAATAAAAGCTGAAACTTTTGGGCCCCCAAAAGGCAAGGAATTATACTATTTATTAACTATCCAGACATCCTATTTTGCATGAACATAAAGTCCGTGAAGCAAGTCCTGGACCTTGTGATTTAGGATTTGTTTTGATTGTTATAAGGGCAATTGTGCTTTGTTATTTTACATGATTGGTTGTGTTTTGTAGATACAAGTGGACCGTCAATAGAATAGTTGAAAGAATAATAATGAAAAGGCAAATGATAAACACTAAGTCAGTTCCTACCAACTTAATACCACTAAAAATTGCATACTCTAACTTTCGAAGTTGAGAGACTGTGTCACCAGACGACCCCCCTTGTTACTATCCAGCGAAATTAATTCGCAAGTCGGTCACAACCAGAAAATATTACTAGTGCCACGGGTTTGACATGTTGAAGCAGAATACACAACCAGGGGAATAATCTACTTCACTGAGTAGGGCGTCATCGAAAATTTGGTTAAAGGCATTGTAGACACTGAAGAGCAATTCGAATGAAAATTTTCATCCGATGATGTTTTTCCCCATGGAACACTTTTGTTCGTTGATATATCCAATGCCTTTCCTCCATGTGATTGAAAGGAACATGTGACTTTTGATGAGATTGTGGTTCCTACATTTCTAGAAGATGGGAAATTTTTTGTTGAGACATAAAGATCGCTTAGACCGGAAGATGTCAGAATTTAATATTTTAGTGGATGGTCTTAGTAACGAGCAATTGATAGCATCACCAGACAAAAGGTTCTCCAAAAGTTCAAAAATTAGAGGGAAAACTTGAAAATTAATAAGAATAATCCATCAACGAAACTCTTAGAAATTCTCAACCTCGCTGAGGCCCAACTTGTCATAGATGAGAAACATATGAGATATTTACTTGTTCGGAATTTGACTCGGGAAAACCTACGTAGTGGTGTACTTCGGTTCAGATTATGCTAAACCAAAACAGATTGATAGGGAGGTATGTTCATGAGTGGGAAAAGCTCCTCAAAAGTTTTGGAAGCCAGCGCAATCCCCAACGAGATCCAGGAATGGTTGGAGAGAACCAGAAGCTTCGACGAATAAGTTTGAAGCTCCCTTAACCTCAGAAGACTGACGCGGGTGTTGGGGAGGATCGACTTAGGGTTCACTCCAACTTGGCTGGACCAGCCGGTCCCCCAGGGGGGGGGGTGCCTT